ATATATATTGCTGCATTTCATGTTTTTTTATTGTTTGGTTTGAAGCAAATGAGAATTGAAGTAATTGAGAAATTTGAATAACCTTAAAATTATTTTAGCCCACATCTAGAGAAGAATTTTTAAATCCCATGCTATGGCAGTTTGTAATTCTCATCTGCCTTAGTCGTCTGTCATGAAACGTGCATATTACATTAATATATCAAAAGCTTACCATCAAAAGCTTACCAAAAAAAATACAAAGGGGGCCTAGTAGCCCTTGAAAATATGGGCGTGGTCAAAAGAGATGAAAGGAAAAAGGAGATATGAGCTATCCACATTCCTAACAAGAAAGCTAACATGTATAGCATTTTGTGTACAAGTATGAGCAACTATATTTTTTGTTCTATCTATGTGTTGAAATAAAACCTGTTTGAATGAAGCTAAAAAGGAGAAGTCCTCCAAGCCTTGTTGTCATCTTTAGCTTGTTGAAGAGAGGACATAATATTTATATTGTCACTTTCAATAATAATCCCATTGACTTCAAGAATCCACGACTCTATTTAGTGACAAAGCCGTGGCCCATATACTTGCCTCCCTCTCCCTCTCCACTCGGCCACTACCTTATAAATCATTTGATACCCATGTTTTTTCTAAAATACATGCATTTTAATTACTTAACTTCTAAAAAATGCATGTAATTTAAGAACATCCAATCAAAGAGTCTCTTGATGACTTTTTGGCTTGATGAAGAGAATTTCTATATGATGCTTCAATGCGGGAGAGTGAATTTGGAACAAGCATGCTAACACATGCTTGGATTCTCTCTACATCATTACAATCATGGGCGACAAAATGCGAACTTCTTGTGACCAAACAAATTGCACCAATGAGAGGCCATCATTTTTGTTGCGCTTCTACATAACTTTATTAGTTTAAGAATCAATTTAAAACAAAACTACCCAGTTTGACCGTGCTGGCAATTTAAGTGGTTGTTGTCCAGAAGATGGGAAAAAAACCAACCTCATATTCATAAAAACGAAAACATTTAGAGTATGTTCGATATTTTTTTTTCTTTTTTTGCTTTTGACTTTTAAATATATTATTTTAGTGTATTTATTTCATGTTCTTTTTTATTTATTTTAAAATTAATAATTTTTTTTTTAAAAATACTCAAAATAATTTTAGATATTTAAAATGTTTTTCTAAATAATTATCACTACTATTAGGCACTATCACCCATCCTTGTTAGCTATCGACAGCTACTGGCTGCAGCCAACCAGTGTCATTAGTTAATGACCACAGTTGTTTGTCATTGTCCTGCTATCGCCTGCCACTAGTGACTACTACTTGTGGTTGTGCTGGCCACTGCCATACGCATCTCAGGCTAACACCAGTTGTCACTACCCCATGACAACTGTCATCATCATTATCATAAATCAATTTATTTAATATTTAATAAAAATAAAAATATATTCTTAAGATCTTAAATAAGTTCTATTGCAAATAAAAACATAAAAAAATAAAATTAAATTAAAATAAAAAAAGAAAACAAAAAAGTAATGTTAAATTTATATGTGAGTTCTCTGTCTAACTGTAAGTCTAGTTTGACTGGTATAATGCGTCATAAGCTTATCCCTAGGTCGGTGACAAACAATTTAGAAGAATAGCCACATAAAAATTTATGTGTTGTTATTTATATGAACATGTGATTTAAAACACGTTGTGTCGTGTAAGTATATGTGTTGGGTCTAAGACTTTGCATATCTTACTAGTTACTATGCATATAAAGGTTTTGTGTTGAATCACTTTCATATGTCAGACATCAAAGGGTCATAGTATGCTAGATGTAAGGTGAAGATTATTCAAGCAAGACTAGCCACTTGCATTAATTAGCCTAGTCTTTTTTTCTTTTTGAACTCTTAATTTAGCGGGAGTCACATAAAAGTTAATATGAATCTACTACAACATGGAAGACGACCATGGAAGTTCTTAAGTCAATCTAAGTCAACAAAATTATCACATCAGCCTACTTTCCTCAAAAGAAGGGGCATGTCTTCACATCACCAAACAATCACTCAACCACCTCTTACGTTTAAGTGATTCTTATGGATTTTGAAATTTTCAGTGGAAAAAGCGTAAGGGGAAGGCTTAAAAATTGTCTATTTGTTATAAGAAATATTTATTTGTGATGTGAATGAATTTTAAAAGCTGTTGATGAAACAATTCACTTCTCTTTGGATCGGTGGCGGAGAGGTTTTCTTTTGATAAGAAAATTATTTTTGTAAGTGTTTTCTTCTATAAGTTTGGATTAAAGTCTTCTTTCATCTTTTCCTACATTCCCTGTATCATCTCATCGCCAAAACCTACATTTCCTTCTGAAAATTTGGAAAATATGTTGAGTTTTTCAAAGTTGGCCTAGTTTTGGTTTAAAAAACTTAGACCAACATAATCATGGTTTGGTTCTCATTCACTCTACAAAAGTTCCATGGAAAATTACATCAAACTACTCAACTAAACTACAAACATCTCCACACGTCCAAGTGTTTCCATCCATCTTACACCAGAAAATATTAAAGAAATTAAGCCATATGTTAAATCGGCCAGATTATAGTTCTTATAGCCTAGTCTCACTATTGCTGGCATTTTCCTAACTCAAAACTCTTGTAAAAATCCCAAAAACAATGTATTATTGCTTTAAACATTCCTCTATCATCTGTGAATGATTTCAAGTTCATTGAAATCTGTATTTGTAAACCCCAGCTATCATAATTCAATCATACAAAAAATCTGCCAAGATGGGCTCTCATGGTTTGGCCTTATCCTGACTGCTCCACCATTTCTATAAATTCAAAAATAATTATTACGGTTCCTAAGAGATATTAGAAGACTACTAAAGCAAAGCATAAGGCTTGGATTAATTCATTTCAATGCTGCATCGTTGATATTGTCTTTTGTTCGCATTGAATTTTTCAGACCTTGCAAGAATTCATGATGTCATTCTCCTCTTTAGGCATCTGTATATTGTCTCATGGATTAAAAAATACTATTTTATTAATGTAACTTGTAAATTATACTAGTATCATTTCTAATAAAACAAGATTTTTTTTTCTAATTCTTCTTTTGTTATATATTTTGCATTTTCCTGTTTCAGCTTTTTTCATGTTAAGTAAAATGCTAGTGATATAAATTTGTATGCTTTCCTCCCCTTGCAGAGCAAAATATGGCATAGAAGAAATGTGCAGAGACCAATGGAACTGGGCAAGCAAAAACCCAAATGGTTATAAATCCCAAGGTACTTAAAATATTACTTTGAAGAGTCCACACGATCAGAGAGGAACTAGTCAATGATTTTGTATATTAGGCCTTCAGTATCTAAAACTAAGCTTTTATTTAGCTTTTAAATTCAGTAAGAATCTCTAGTGTAGATAAATTGTAATGCATCTTCCCTCACCTTTGCAAAAAAATAAGATGTTTTTTTATAATAATGGCTTCTTTAGTTGTATGAAAAGCTTTAGGCTTTCTAATGGAGGCTTGGAGAACGATTTTATCTTGGTGGTCCCTGCAGTACTCCATTTTTCAGTTTGCAGTTTTTTAACTGTTTGGAAAATGGGAATGGCATTTTTTTTTTTTTTATGGGAAATTTACATACATACCACACAATTCTTATGTAATTACATTACATTTCTAATAACTAAATTTTATTTTCTATATTCATACCACACAAATCTTTCATTCACATAAAAACACCCTATTTTAACTTTTGGAATGTGAAATGTTCCCTTTTATGTATAGATAAGGCGGCATATAAAAGTAAAAAAAAAATGAAATTTATAAATGCATGGGAACTAAGTGGTATGTATGTAAATCTTTGTACATAGAAATTATGTCAGCATGATTGTCGAGTAGGTTCGATGGTCTAAGAGAGAAGGAATATCAAAGGGTGGACTCGTCGACATAAGATATTGGGAAACTCGACTTCCGATCAGATGAACCAGGCTCAAAATCAACTATCATAAGGATAAATATTTGGCATGAGCCAAGCGGTCCACCCAGTCATAAGAAATGATCATCCAAGCCTAACATTTCAATGTAATGAAGTTCGAAGAAGGGATCAATCTCTCAAATCTTATGGCCACATTGAGGATGATCAACTACCTTTCCCCCAATATCTCTTTGTCCAAGGTTAAGCTACCTATCAGATTGTGATGATGCTTGATAGCCTAGCTACGCTATGGTGATAGGAGTTTTTAGATGAATGTCAAAGGCCGACAACCACTATACATATGTATCAATTAGACCTTGTTGATCAGTTCTATTGACTTCCGACTGGTAGAAAACGGGTCAACCTATAAATTCTACAGACATAGCTTTCTGACAACATAAACAAAGTCGCTTGCTCCCCAACTCTGCACACTCCAAAACTTCAATAGCACGGCTGATCTACAGTCCCAACTAGACCCAGTCGACCATTAAAGCTCAACAAAGTCCTATCAACGCAGTCAATCGAGCCCGAGAGCAACGACCCTTGGCTCATAAGAGTAAAATATCTAAAATTTTTTATACAACTCCCACTTGATTAGGAGCATAAATGTAGCTTTACGTATTGCACCCCATTTCTCTATAAAGAAAGGGGTCATTTCATGAATAAAATGTTATGCAATTCCCCTATTTTACTGTTCATTATTGTGCACTCTCTCTTCTACCATCTCTCTATCTTTCTCTCTCTTTTGTTGCACTTTATTCCTTGGGTGTGATTCACAGGATAGATCCAGATTCAACATCTTGAAAGGTAAGGCGAGCATGGATCATACCGACAATAAGAAGAGGAGCACAACAAAGCGAAGAAATCCACCAAGAGACTACAAACATGGAGCGCCTAAGGAGTTCGCAAACCAATAGATATAAGTGTTGAAGGAGCAAATAATAGGTCAGATGCTAGAAGCCATCCGAAAAGCACTCGCCCAAGGTAGGAAGCTGAACCCCGAGAGGAAACGCCGGTTCCCAAGGACCGAAGACTAACTCAAGTCCCAGAAAGAATATGAGATTTTTAATACCAAGATAGTGTTGGGTCTACATTGATGGATAAACAACGATTCATGTGTTCTGAGGTGCCCAGTTAGCCAGAGAATGCGTTCTCTCGGCAGATATTCAATGTTGAGCCCCCAGAAAAATTCAAAATCCTCTCGTTGGAGTCTTACAAATGTCGAACTGACCGACCGAACATCAAGCATTGTTCGAATCGACCAATTGTATGTGGGGGATTACCGACATGCTAATGTGTCGATTTTTTTTCACCACACTGATGGAGTTCGTCCTCAGATGGTTTAATGGACTACAGTCTAGAGGGATCACCTCCTTCACCGACTTCAAAATAATGTTTGTGGCGCAGTTTGCCAACACCAAAAAATCTTAGAAGAATTTGCAGGCTCTACTGTAGATCAGGCAAGGGCAACACAAGAGCCTCCACTCGTTTATTACTCGGTTCTAAAGTGAGGGACCTGGAACTCATAGTCGCACACACTGCCCTAGCTTATGGGCTAAAGGAGGGACCATTCAGTTATGCTCCGAGTCTCCAGCGATCAAAAACCTTAGCCGAATTGTCGGAGCTGGCCAATAATAATCAGGGGGAGGGGGGAGACAATAACCACAACTAAGGGGTCAGGCGTGGTACCTTGAGCAACAATCAGCTTGTTACCATGGGCCATTGTCGAACAATCACAAGATCTTGAATTAAGAGTACTTCAAAAAGGCACCTCCAATGAGTGTCAGAGTTTTTTTTTTCCAGGAAAGGAAGAAGTATTGTGCATATCATAACAACCATAGATAGAGGAATGTAGACACCTCTAAAGTCTAGTCGAGGAGTTGATAAGAACTGGAAATCTCAAGGAATTTATGGCACCGGGAGTAGCGACCCAAAGGGAGGGGAAGTCTCTTGTAGAAGAAATCTTGGATGAGCTAGTTCTAGCGAATTTCATCCACATTGTTGGATTTGTAACAACTATTTTTGAAGGTGGAGACTCATCCCAGCTGGCCAGTCCGAAGAGGCTATAGTCTGGAGAGCCGTGTGCAGCTTCTTTGCTCTAACACACAACAACCATCCACCTTTCACTTACACTAACACAGACTTGCCCACAAGGGGGAATAATTACGACGACACCATTGTCATAAAAATGATGATATGCAACTAACATATATGTAGTATTTTGATTGACACTAACTTCTCCGTGAACATCCCGTTCAAGTCAATGTTCAACAAAATGAAACTTCCAACAAACTGGTCGGTGTCATCGGCCAACCCACTAAATTGTTTCTCCTGCGAAAGGAGGGAGTAGCTGCACTGTCAGTCTCATGGGGAGAGCTGAAAATAAATTGTCATACATGGAGGACTTTCTGGTGGTAGATTCACCACTAACCTACAACGCTATCTTCAGTTGGACCCTACTAAATGACTGCAATGTTGTGATCTCCATGTACCACGTGGCAGTGAAGTTTTCAGGTGACAGAGAGATTACACCGTTCGAGGAATTTTGGAGCAGTCCCAGACCTACTACATCCGAGCGATTAGGAGTGTGGAGCAGATGTCGCTCGACCTCTAGTACCGACATGAAGAGGTCTCAAGGCTAGCCAGACTAATCTAGATATCCCTGCAGTCAATGGAGAGCCTAATAATTGTTTCCTTATAAGTGAAAATTTTGATGCAAGGCATCAACGAGATCATCAAAATGTCTTTTACTGGTCAGGGGCAAAGATGTTAGGGATACCGCTCGATGTTGCATGCCAGTGGTGGAACATAAATCCAACTAACCCACCAATGAAGCAGAAAATTAGGTTTTTGATGATGACTCTAGCCAGAACGATCTGAGAGGAGGTGCAGAAGCTGAAAAAGGCTAGCTACATTCATGAGGTATAATACCCAATGTGATTCTTCAATGTGATCATTTTACAAAAGGCATACAACAAGTGGAGGATGTGTGTAAATTTCACCAACTTGAACAATTTCTGCCCGAAGAACAATTGCCCGATGATCGACGCATTGGTTGACTAAGCAGTCAACCATTTAGTGATGAACTTCTTGGATGCTTTCTCCAGCTACCACCATATAAAAATGCACCCAACTAGTGTAGAGATGATAATATTTATAACTAGTGAAGGTGTATACTGCTATAATGTAATGCCCTTTAGGCTTAAGAATATCGGGGCCACCTACCAGTGTCAAATGAATGTAATTTTTCAAGCAAAAAAGGGAAAAAATATTAAAGTGTACATGGATAATGTGTTGGTTAAAAGTCAGTTGGTCAAAAAACACATACTAGATTTAAATGAAATGTTTGAGACCCTCCAAAATTATAATATGAGATTAAATACTTTAGAACTTCTACAAGCAATTTTCTCGACTACCAATTGAACCCAGAGGGAATAATACTCAATTCGAAAAAAGTGCATTACTTGATATGCCACCTCCCCAAAATATCGAAGTGCTGTAAAATTTGACTGGTTGGATAACATAATTGAGCCAGTTCATTTCCAAATCGAGTGGCAAATGTGTAGCATTTTTCAAAATGCTTAGGAAGGTCAAAAAATTTTGAATGGCCAGATGATTGTGAGCGAGTTCTCGTCAAACTGAAAAATTCTCGGCGCCGTCTCCATTCTAAAGCCCGAAGTTGAACGAAGAGCTCTCTCTCTATACTTGGGAGTTGTATCTGAGGTCATCAACTCAGTACTGGTTAGAGAGGGATTGAGGAAGCAATTCTCGGTTTACGACGCCAACCGGGTTTTCAATGGTGTCGATAGTAGGTATTGGAATATGGAAAACTAATTTTTTCTCTGATTATCTTCACTCGTAGGCTCTAGCCTTACTTTTAGACGCACTCGATCTGGGTCATTATTGCTCACCCACTGAAATTTGTTCTCATTCGGTAGAGCTAAGTGAGTTCAACATCTTCTATGTCCACCAAACTACAATCAAGGTGCAAGCAGTAGTAGACTTTTGGCAGATTATTCTGAATCATGCAAGCTGAAGGATCGGTTGTCGACAGCTAGACCTGAGTTTTATACATCGATGGAGACTCCATCTAGATGGGGGCGGTGATTGGAATTGCTCTGAGTAGTCCCACCAAAGAGCACCTCTACCATTCGGTCGAGATAGAATTTGAAGTCACGAACGATCAAATGGAGTTTAAGGTCCTGATTGCCGACCTGCATTTTGCCTATGAGGTGGGTGTCTGACATCTTCATGTGATGTTAGATTCTTAACTGATAGTGAATCAAATGAATGGAGAATTTGAAGTCAGAGATGGATGATGGCTAAATACCTCAACAAAGCTAAAGTGGAGATTTGGAAGTTCGTCATCTTCTGAATCGAGCGCATTTCCTAGGAGGATAATCAAGTTGCTGACATTTTATCCAAGTGCATCCGCTTGGGGGAGGGAACCCCTCAAATGCTAGTACGACCTATAATTGAAGAAATCAAAGTAATGTAGGTGGAGGCCAAAGGAACAGAAGGAT